CCTCCCTGATGTCTTATAAGGACACTAGCCATATTGAATTAGGACCCACCCAAATGACCTCAGAACTTCCCAGTAAAACCTCTACGACTAGGGAGTTTTTTGAGTATGTGAGGTAAAGGAGAATCTTTTATTAGCTTTTCAATTTCTTTAATATTTGTTGATCTACTCAAATTGTTTACTTCTTATAGTCTCAATTGTGACATCTTAAAAATTTTTCTCAGGTTTTACCCAAATTTCAAATTGATTTTTCTTAGCATCTATTAACATAGCTTTCTTTTATGTTTTTTAAAATATGTATTTATTTCGCTGTGTTGGGTCTTAGCTGCACATGATGGCTCTTTAGCTGTGGCATGTGGGAATCTAGTTCGCTGACCAGGGATCAAACCTGGGCCCCCTGCACTGGGAGTGCTGAGTCTTAGCCACTGGACCACCAGGGAAATCCCTTCTTATATTTATAGATTTCATCCAAATGGAATTAATCTTTGCAAATGATGTGAGATAGGGATCTAATCTTATGTCTCTCCTTTAGTTGAGTCTACTTTCCCAGGCATCATCTCTCCTGGGAACCATCCATTCCCTCACCAATAATTAATGGAGCCCCTTTATCATACATAAATTTCCACATTTACATAAAAAAGAATTTTCTTTCTGTCTTTGTCCTTTCCCAATTCAAATGTTTGCAAAACACAGAAAACTTTTTACTGAATATATTTAATAATCACAACAACCCTACAAGTTATTATCTCTTTGTCTCTGAAAAGTAAATAGAGGTTCCGAAAGACTGTGTTTAGCCTAGAGTTCACATAATCCTGAGTGGCAAGCCAGTATTTCTGACTCTAGGTTGATAGGTCTTTTCCCAATTCCCCTACTGCCTGTTTAAACAGCTGATTTCTTGTACCTAATTTTAGTCATTAATATAAATACCTATTGAACACCTTAAATGTTCTAGACACTATTCTAGGATCTAGGACGGCAACAGCAAACTAGCCAGATAAAAATCTCAGCCCACTTAGAAATAACACGGCCAAGGGCCCAGGGTAGCTCTGGAAACAGAGGCGGAAACTAAGAAAACCACATTGGTAACAAGGGCTATTCTAGTACCTACTTGACATCCATTTTTCCCAGGAGTTCAGAGCTTCCGTTTGTAGAGTCAAAGAAAGCCCCCTGAAAGTTCCCTGACTCCAGTTTCCAGAGGGGCAGCACTGAACCCCCAAGTCAGGCAAAACACAAGGGAGGCAGCCAGGCTACACCTCTACCTTTGGGCAATTTCAAAAAATTCCTTTCGTTGGCCAGAAAGAGGGTTTCAGCCCTTTCTTCTGTTCCCTGAACAAGGCTAAGAACATATTTCTTACTCTCTGAGCCAATCCTTCCCCTGCTTTCATGATTAAGGACTAGTATTTCAGAATGTCTTGGGGGGAAGTTAAGAGCAGACACCTCCCACCATCATGAAGGCCCCTTGCAGGGGGGAGTCTTCTCATTTTAAAATGTTTTAACATTTAAAACTAGAAATAAAGTTAAATGTATGTACTCCATCAGTTTCATAGTGATAAATCAGGTCTAGTTGACTACAAATTGACTACAAGATGGAATAATTTAAAGGATGACTTAAAGGGGATAAAAATGAATTCCCAATGAACAGTTGGCAATATCCATTTCCATTTTTATAAATAGTAATTGCGTTTTCAGCTAGGCCCCCAGGCACCCTGAATAAAGACATTATTTTCCTGGGACTTCTCCGGTGGTCCAGTGGCTAAGATTCCGTGCTCCTAATGCGGGGGAGTCAGGTTTGATCCTTGGTCAGGGAACTAGATCCCACATGCTGCAACTTAGAGTTCTCATGCCACAACTAAAAAGCTTCACACCACAATGAAGATTGAAAATCCCACATGCAGCAACTAATACCTGGCACAGCCAAATAAATAAATCTTTAGAAAAGAAGAGGACAGTATTTGCTAGCTTCTGGTGTGATCATCTGACTGTTTTCTAGCCAAAGAATGTGGGAAACTCTTCAATGATGCTACTAAAAGGGAACATGTCCTCCCTTTCTGACTTCCCAGGGATTAGAAGTGGACCTAATGGGGGACACTTCGGACTGTGTGGTGAGGGAAACATCCTATGAATGTCACAGCAAAAACTAAGAGTTTGGCTTTAGGGAACACAACCTCAGTACCACCTGGGGACTTTAACGTAATATAGGATTCATCTTCTATCTGGTTTAAGTCACTGTCATCTATATCTCATGAGATCAAACCTGTATCCTCACCGATATTCCCCTAGGTCCTCCCCATTCTTCCAAACATCCACCTTCAGGACTTTGTGCATCTGTGCATGCAAGCTCAGTCATTTCTGACTCTTTGTGACCCTATGGACTGCAGCCCTCCAGGCTCCTCTGTCCATGGAATTTTCCAGGCAAGAATACTGGAGTGGGTTGCCATTTCTTCCTCCAGGGGAGCTTCCCGACCCAGGAATCAAACCTGCCTCTCTTGTGTCTCCCGCTGGATTGTTTACCACTGAACCGCCTGGACTTTCTACTGCAATTCAAATAATTTCTCTTTTGTTCTTTAGTGGAAGGAGTTGTTGTCCACTTCTTACCAACAATTAGATTCAAACAGAGAACATATCTTACATTAAAGTAACTGTTTTGTTAAACCCTAGGCTTAAGCAGCCATAATTACTTCATATTTTAAGAACTGAGATGCTAGACCATGAAGAATTTTGTAGATTTTTATTTATTTTACTATTAAAAATTTTAATCTTAAAAACGGTTAATCATAAAGTAAAAACTAACCATACATTTGTTTTTATACATTATATACACTTGAGAAATAAATAGCATTCTAAGCATTTAAAAAAGCATCATCATATACAAATAAGGCTTCTAGCCGAATGTATAAATACAGGACCCACTGAGGATTCCATTCCCAAGGCTTCCGTTACAAATGCAGGAGCAGAAAGTGACCAGGATGCACAGTCATAACACAAACTTTACCTTGTCTAGAAAGCAGTCACAGAAGCAACAGGAAAAGCACACAACTGGATTGAGAAAATACTTTGAACTGAGATCTTTGACTGCTTATGTCTTCAGAAGTTTGGCATTGAACAATGATACAACTTTGGCACAATACAGGTGAAAACAATGTCATTTAAAAACGTAGTGTTAGTCCCTCAGTCATGCCCAGCTCTTTGTGACCCCATGGACTGTAGCCCCGCCAGGCTCCTCTGTCCATGGAATTCTCCAGGCAAGAATACTGGAGTGGGTAGCTATTCCCTTCTCCAGGGATCTTCTTGACCCTGGTGGCTCAGAGAGCAAAGAATCCGCCTGCAAAGCAGAAGATCCAGGTTCAGTCCCTGGGTTGGGAGATCCAACTCTCCATGGAGTCACAAAGAGTCGGACACGACTCAGCAACTAACACTAACACTTAAAAACCTAAGTACAGAGAAAATAGCTCTCCCCCCAACCTCACCTGCCATCACAACGCCTTCCAAATAATATTCGTCCATAAAAATCCCAACCGCTTGGCACAGTTGTCCTCCCAGTTCTCTATTAATAAAAGGGTTTAGGGTTTCATGGATGGCTCTGAAAAACCTTCCTTGTCATGTCTGGGGCATGTTGGTAGGAAATGGCTGTAGGAAAACTGGTGAAGTTGTAGAGATGTGCATACCACAGGCTTTGGCTCCAGGAAGTCTGGGTCTTCACCGGGCTCCACTATCAACTCGATATATAATTCTAGGCCCGTGGCTGAACCTCACTAAGCCTTGGTTTTGTAACATAGAGATAATAGTAGCTGCCCTGCTCACCTTCTGTTATGAGTCTGTAATTAAGTGATGCATGTTTAAATCTTTTGAAAATTACAAAAGGGTTCCTCAGATATCATGTATATTCATTCAGATCAAGATCTAGAAGTGGGGGCTTTTCGAAGAAGTTCGGCACAGAAAGGGCACTGGTGTTTGAACCAGATAATTCAAGAAGGAACAAGGATGGCGTTAATCACATCTTGGCATCTGCTGTGTGCTGGTCTGCATATGAACAGACATGTGTAATCCCTTCCCATCTTCCTACACAGAAGAGATTTTGCCAATCGTATCCAGCAATTGGTCACCATTCTGTCCCCAAGACACATGGTGACACTCTGCTGGTGACCAAAGATGTCACTCTGAAGGAGGATGCATGTCCATGAAGAAGAAATAGGTAGAAACCACTTGAAGCCTCAGGGCCCCCAACTCTTACATCCTATAAACCCTCAGTGCCTCTCGTGCATAGTCATGGATCATCTAAACTGGAAGGAAGTCTAGACATCCCAAACCCATTAGGCTTCAAATGAGGAGAGGCTCTTGCAGAAATTTACTAAGGTGTCTATTGCCACCTGCTAACTATCAGTGCTTAGCAAATATTTGTCCAGTTAAAAAATGAGCAATGGAAAAAATAAGAAAGCCAATGATGTGTGCTTTAGAAAGGAAGTTGGGGAGCAGGACGGAATAAAATATAACTGGGACATATTACTAGTTACCCATCGAACCCTAAGAGTGAGAGGTTCTGCACCTCTCAGACCTACTCTCCCCTCCCTGGGCGAACAAGGTCCCAGGTCCTGACACCAGCCAGCTTCCAGCAGAAAGACCTCTCACTCAAGTCAGGTTGAGGTCAGGCAGCGGACAGCCTTCCACACAAAGATGCTCAGAGCCTGTGACCCTCATCAGGTGAAACACAGGCTCATGCAGTCACTGAGAAACCAGCCTGGTGGGCACAGAGGTTGGGGCACCGGCCCTTTGCTCACAGACCTGGAGAGAGAGCAGTCCAAGAGCGGCAGCGGGGCCAGCAGACATGGCAGTGTGCGGTCCCCTCCGGTGAGAAGTCCCAGCCTTCCCGGGAGGCACAGAGCTGGCCCCGCGAGCGGGCTCCTCCCAGGGCTCCAGGCACAGGGCCAAGCCGGGTCCTCCCATCAGGTGGCTCCTCTGCTGTAACGTCCCTCCACGTGCTTGGAAGTCGGGTGGGTGGCGGGCCCTCAGAGATGCTCCACAGTTGGACTGAAAGGAACCACGTGGGTGCGGAGTTGTTAGCTGGCTTCGCAGCTATGCACCTCCGCTTACCACAAGACCAAGCTTTCTTCTACTCTTCTCTGCCTGTTTTACCTTCTTCCCTTTCAGAACAAACCTGAGTGCTCCTTCCTCCCCCTCCCCCAAGAAGCCACAGAGCCAATTTGAGAAACACCACATCAGAGCCCACTCTGGGTTCCTTGCTCCCTACACCTCAGTGCTGATACCTGCATATTTAGCAGAATAATCACCTTCAGCATGCATATATATGCGCGCGCACACACACACACACATGCAACCGCAGGGAGAATGGCCAAGTCCTCTCTGCTTTGCTCTAAAAACACAGGAGAGCCTGCAGTATGATAGGAAAGGGGCAGAGTCGAGAGATTTTGGTTCTAGTCTCAGCTACACTAACACACTATGGAGTCTCAGTCTCCTTCTTTGTTAACAGATGAACAGCATTCGTAGCCAGAGAGAGACTACTGAAGGTGTAAGACAAGTCCAGAGATGTCACGACTTCCTGGCATTAATTTATTACTGGGGATCCTGTTGTTTTCTATTCCTTTGAGGGCAAAGGAAAGGACAACTTGTTTTCTCAAGGAGATATTTTAAGAGAATTATGGCATTCTCAACTGTTAGGAAGTTCTGGAGTGGGAAAAAAAAGTATGTCAGAATAGCAATCAGAATAGTAATCCTTCCCAAGTGTGCAATGTACATGGCCGTTCCAAGAATCAGTGAAGTTAAAATGTGTGGAAGCACTTGGAAAGGTATAAATTTAAATACAGACATGAAGAATTAAAATTATTATCATAGCAGAAAATCTTACAAGCCTACTCTAGACTGAGTCTCTTAATTAAATGAGCAGTTTTCAGGATGCCACAAGTCCTGTGAGCTCCAAGTTTGTAGTCACGCTGATGCTCCTGAACAGAAGACAGAGCAGCCAGGATGTAGCTCAACCCTCAGGGTTGGCAGACAGCTAATCACAGGGGGACCCCAGCATGGGTGCAGCTGCTTGATAACTGATACCCAGATCGAGGCGAAGTGACTCATCTGAGCAAGTGGAACCTCCATGCTCAAGAAAGAACACAGGCTTTTGAGTGAACCAACAGCTTCAAATCCTCACTCTGTTGTCACCAACTGGGGGACCTGGAAAGAGTGACCTAACCTCCCTGAGTCTCAGGTCCCCCAACTGTCCACAAGGTTAACAGCACCAGCATTGTGGACTTGATCAAAGTAGATGAGATGCTGTATGGAAGCATGAACGCAGGGTGGGCACATCTACATGCTGGGTAGCATTGTAATTTAGTACCACTGAGTGGGCCAGGAGTTGGGACCTGAGTTGGGGGGGGCATCTCCCTCCTGCTCAGCAGGCATTTAGGCTCAGAGGGTGTATGACTGAGGCCCCCTCTGAATGAACCCACTGCCTCATACCACAGAATCAGCCTTCCTCAATTCTGAAATAATGAGACTCCAGCTCGGGGCAAGAGGGACACTGAAGCAAGAGGACCCCTTTGTCTGATTCAGCAACGTGCACAGTGAGCATTCCTGCTTTTCAGGAAGGGAGAAAGTTGGACTTCCCTGGTGGTCCAGTGATTAGGACTCCACGCCTCCAATGCAGGGGTCACAGGCTTGATCCCTGGTTGGGAAACTAAGATCCCATGTGCCTCACGGTCAGAAAAGAGAACTGGAGACAGTTGCCTACTTATATCCACTCACACCAACCTGGGTCCCAGAAAATCTTAAAAGGGGAGCAAGCCTTGTGCTTTTCCCTTACTCCCCCCAACACCCCACTCCACCCAGGTGCCCAGAAGGCAACCAGGAGCCCTGGAACTTCCCATGGCCCTGGTCTCTACACAGAAGTTCAATCTAAGATGGCAACCTGGGTACCAAGCTTGCGGACTTGGTCACTGAAAGACCTCATTCCAGCAGGACCACGGCTGTGACACCCACAGCGTGAAGCAGAACAAGAGGCAAAGAGACATTCACAGCATCCAACTTCCTGTCGCACTGATTCATCTATTTCCTTCCAGCAGAAGGTTGGCCTCATAAAGGAAGGGACCTTCCTTGGCTTTTGTTGGCTTCTATGTCCCAAGTGCCCAGACGCACATCCAGCCTACACCTAGGGACCTGGCAACAAGCACTGCATGAACCTCTGAGAACATCCTGCTTACCTGGTTTCATTTTTCATTCTCCAGCCATCCCGACACTTGTGAAACCAGAGCTCTTGGCCAGGAGATATAAGAGTGTTCTCAAGATCTTCTGCACAAAAAGTCAATCTAGAAGGAAAAAGAAACCACTGATGTAGCCAAAGCTCCAGAGGTGGGGACACGGCTGTGCATCAGCCATACGGTACTTTCTGGATCCAAGGCAGATGGAGTAAGAAGAAAAGAGAAGTTTTCATCTCATCCATCCTGACTCAAGACCCTTCAGAACTCCCCACCGCTGCGACAAGCGCACCAAAAGGGTCTCACTTGGATATCTCCCATGATTCGGCTCATGCAGCCTTTAATCACACCCCTTCCATCTTCTTCCCTCTGTCTGTCCAAACGGACACCTGCCTTCCAAGGCATAACCTCTCTGAAGCCTCCCTGACTGCTTGAGACCTTACTAAGCTAACCCTCTGTTGACTTTCCAGTTTAATGAATTGGCACATCCCTTGTATAAATGTTGTTTTTGTTACTGTCGTTACTTCTTATGGCACAGAGTTAATAGCGAAGGCATTATCTCGTTTTAGCACATTATATCCTGTCTTGAATAGCTGTGGATTCCTATATCTGTAGTGGACTATAAACTCCTTGAGTGAAGGAACTCAAGGTCCCTCCAGCATGGTGTCCAGAAATACCCACTGACAAGCATAACTGGAACTCAGTTGTGAGTCAATAGAAAAGATTCAGGAAGTAGACAACAAAGATCACAGGAAGAATCAGTAGTCTTAAAACTATTTCAACTATAACATACAACCCAACTTCCAGCCCACCAGCCTTGGTGATGTGTGGTCAGTGTGACCCCATGGCCTGTAAATCTGACCATGATGCTTACCAGTAGGACAAAAGTCACATTCTGAATAGTCTTCTGAACCTTTACCAAGAAACCCAAACAGTCCATAAACACCCATTACATACAGATGAAAACAGCAGTAGGTGACCAACTCACACCCAATGAAATGGCAAGAATATCCACCAAAGGAGGGGGAAAAAGAGAACTTTTTCTCATTGGCTGAGATGAAAAATTAGTCCAAACACTTTGGAAAGGGATTAATATCCAGTCCAGTTGGTAAATACATATACTATAACCCAGTGATTTAACATGCCCCCAAGAAGCCCGTGGGCTTCCTGGGTAGCTCAGCCTGTAAAGAATCTGCCTACGATGCAGGAGACCCAGGTTCGATTCCCGGGCCGGGAAGATCCCCTGGAAGAGGGATAGGCTACCCACTCCAGTATTCTTGCCTGAAGAATCCCCATGGACAGAGGAGCCTGGAGGGCTACAGTCCACGGGGTCGCAGAGTCAGACATGACTGAGTGACTAAGCACAAGACAGCACAGGAAGCCCTGACACATGTGCACAAGGAAAACACCCCAGGATGGCTATCTCAGCACTGCTTAGGGCGGCAAGAAAGTAACAACGTAAATATGCAGCAGGACAACAGTGAAACTATTGTTTGTGCAATGATGGCTTGCATTCAGGAGTTAAACATGAATGATGCTCAGTCCTTCAGTCATGTTTGACTCTTGGCAACCCCATGGACCGTAGCTTGCCAGGATCCTCTGTCCATGAGATTTTTTAGGCAAGAATACCACAATAGGTTACCCTTTCCTTCTCCAGGGGATCTTCCCAACCCAGGGATCAAACCCATGTCTCCTGCAGCTCCTGCCTTAACAGGCAGATTCTTTACCACTGAGCTACCTGGAAAGCCTAAACATGAATAGATGGGATCGATATGTGTTGGATAAATATGGGATCGATATGTTGAATGGAGAAAAGCAACTTTGAAAGGAATATGTCCACTCATGTAAACTTCAGAAGGAACCAAAACAATTCTACAGGTTGCACACAGATACAAACAGAGGTAGTGAAGGTATAAACATCATGAAGAGGGAAACGCTAACATGTGTTAATGTTGGAAGATGAGTACAGTTGGCTTGAAAGGGCAGGAGTCGGGCAGCAGAGGGGCTTCTGTTCCATCTGTAATGTTTTACTTTTTAAAATCTCATATCTGAAACCAATATGGAAAATGGTTCACATTTGTTAAATCTCGGTGGTTTATTAAATTTGCTTCCATCTTTCAGGACTTCCCTGATGGTCCAGGGGTTAAGTCTCCACGTTTCCACTGCACAGGGCACAGGTTCGATCCTTGGTGGGGGAACTAACATCCCGTATGCTGGGCAATGTGGCCAAAAAGGAAAGTACCAAAAATAAAAAATGATCACCTTTCAGCTGCCACACATCGGCACAGGCTGCACTTTCAAGCATCAAGAGAAGGAGAAATACACATGATTATCTAGGCCATAGCCTTTGTGCTAATAGTTCCCCTCAGCAGGCACCCACGCCTACCACGCCCCAGTGCCCAGGTCTCTAGACCAGAATCACTCAGATGAGCGACCCAAGCCTCCACCCCTGCATGGCCAAGATGCCCTGTAGGTGATGGACAGAAATGAGACACTTGAAGAACTGTAGTGGAGAAAATGCCAGAAGAAGTAGAGAGAGTGGAACCTGCTTCCCATCGACCCAAGGCTGGCAATGACCTCCCAGAGGCTGGCTGAAGGGTCTGGCCAAGGAAACCCTCCTCTCTTAACAAATGTCTTCCAGGCTTCCTGGCTCCCACTTGGCCAGAAGCTGCTCAGAAAGTCAAGGCACGTTTCAGGGGCTGATTTAGGTGTGTTTTTTCATGTTAGGCTTGGGTTAACAGACATGGGGAAACTGCCAGCTGGCATAGCACAGAGGAATCTCTGTTCTTTGATGTTAGGGCCCCACCCACGTCCTGGAGTCAGAGCCTCCCAAGGAGGGATAGAATCATCTGAAGACAGGATGTCAGGGAAGCCGGGACCCCCACAGACCTCATGCAACTTCTGGTTGTACAGACCCCAGAGCAAACAGATTAACAAGGCAGCACTTCTGGTCCAGTGATTAAGAATCTGTGCTTCCACAGCAAGAGGCACGGGTTTGATCCCTAGTTGGGGAACTAAGATCCCACATGCTACCCACATGGTGCAGCCAAAAAAAAGTACTTGAACTCATACTATGGCATATTAAACAATATTAAAACAAAACAAGGGAGCTCTATAAAGCGCCCTGTCCAGGAGAAGCCCCCTTCCTCCAGGCCAGCACAGGGCTTGGCAAATGGAACAAGGGCTGGGTTCCAGCCTCCACTTGCCCACCTGTCTCAGCCCAGGGCCTGTGACCAGGGCACAAGCGGCACAAATTGATCTGGAATTCAGTCTTCCTTGCAAAGCGTTTGTGGTTTTTCCCACGTGCTTTGGATAGGAAAAGATGGAAGGTGCACACTTGCAGGAGGAAATGACAACCCACTCCAGTGTTCTTGCTCAGAGAATGCCATGGACAAAGGAGCCTGGTAGGCTACAGCCCATAGGGTCGCAAAGAGTCAGACACGACTGAAGCGGCTTAACACGCCCTTAGCACACTCACTTAGCCAAGAAAAGAACTCTGCAGTGGCACACACCCTCTGCTGACCATGGACATGGGACAGGAAGAGGGTCATGAGAAACTTACCTCCGCTGGGTTTCCCCAGACTTGACCCGGATGCGTCTGATATGCAGCTCCTGCTTGGAACTGCGAGGCTGAGTCAGGTAGCTGCGAAGCTCCTTCCACAGGTTGTACCAGGACTGAGACTTGCCCTCCCACATAAGTTTGATCTTCAGGAGGTCTCCCAAGTCCTCCTCGGTGTAGACCAGGAAGGTGTTGGTGGCATTCAGCCCGATCTGCTCCACCCTGCAAGGGGACAGGAAAGCTGGTCTCCGTCCCCTACCACCTGGAGACTGTGGCGCTGTGCGGGGTGACACAGTGACAGCCCTTGCCCCTCATGGATGGGAGAGAAATGCACAAGAGGCCCCCTTGCCACACCCTCCACGTCCTGGCAGCAGGACCAGCATGGAAGCTCAGTTGTGCCCCATACTAACAGAGAGCTAACACCACCCATGGCACCCCAGCTTCCTATCCAATGCTCAAGAATCTGAGCATCTCATCATGTAGGCAACTTCCTGGGGTGGAGGGTGGGAGGGTGGGGAACAACAGGACCAGGAAAGAACAGAAATGAGAAAAGTGCAAAGAAGTCACATCCCCATTCAGTGACGTCTCATCCCCTCAGCCCATGGGCATCCATCTCCCCTGGGAACTCCCAGCTCCTTCTGTCTGTCCCTCTCACTCAGCACCGAGGGAAGCCTGCCTCTCCCCATCTGTGTGCATGAGTTTGTGCACACAAGTCTGGTCCCCCTGACTCAGCCCTCAGCCCTGAGAGCAAGTACTCTGATTGCATTCCTTGGCAATTCCAGCATTACTCAGCAAGGTGCTTTGCACCTTACAAGTGCTCAACAGGTCTACACTGATTACCATGTGCCCCTCCCACAGATAATGGGAAACGGGCCACGGATGACATGTATTAGGTTCCAAATTTCCTAAAGCTCGGGAATCAGGTGTTGTCTGAATGAAACAGCAGTTTCTGCCCAGCTGATCCAGCAGATTCTCACGCTGCTGATTCATCCCAGGAGCTTCCCTCCCAGAAATGTGAGCCCACGGCTCTGGCGAGAGAGTGAAGCAGGAGGGAGGAACCACCCAGCGCCTCCCCGGCACGCAGACTCGCTCCCCTGCAAGTGCTCACATGCCCCTGCGCACTCTCTCCCACTTGTTCTCTGTCCTGCACCCAGCAAAGAAAACCCATGACTTACATTTCCAAAGGCAGAACCTGGGACTCAGCATTGGTGCCATAAAGGGTGACATAAAAGGTGGGTTCCATTTCTCCTGTGCTCTTGTAGCTGAAGACATGGATTTTCATCTGATAATGATAAACTGCAGAGATAGCAGAACAAAGACATTTGTGAGCCTCGCTTGTCATCTTAGGACACCCTGACCCAAAGTGAGTCACCCACCACAGTCAGTTTTTAGGGACTGACTTCCTTTAGGTCCAGCCCAACCTCTAAACTCCCTCTGATCTCATTCTCTCCAATGGCCTAAGAGGTCACTGCAGTATAGAAGAAGGAGCCCTCTTTGATGACCTGGAGAGGTGGGATGGAGGGGGCGGGAGGGAGGTTCAAGAGGGAGATATATAAGTATATCCTGCCTTGACTAGCATATTCAAGTATATATATATATATATATATATAGCTGATTTACTAACACAATATGATAAAGCAATTATCTCTCCAATTAAAAATTTTAATAAAAGGAAGAAGGAGCCCTGAGCTTGGGGTTTAGGAGAACTTTGGGGGACTCTGACCTAGATACTTTTGAGCTGTGTGACCTTGAATTAAGGAACAAGGTATTAACCTCTTGAACCTCAATTTTCTCATATGGAATATAATACCCTCAAAACCTTTTAGTTGTATAACATGTTATAAAAATGTAAGATATCATTTCAATTCCCTGTTGGGCCTATCTCTGACCATTTTGATAATCAAATGAGAAAACAAATATGAAAAGCTAAATGCAAGATAGAATTTTTAAGTTATTGATATTGCTATCATAGAGTGATAATTCACAACACCAAAGGAGCCCCCATCATTTACTTTTAAAGATTTAACTTTCCTAGGGCATGCACAATATAATCTGGTTTGCAATGATGTGATCAAAGTGCAGGAATGTGCCTGTTACACAGCATGGTATTTGGAAGGAGGGAAAAGGTCCTTTCCCAGGGCAATGAGGGCAGGGATGAAGGTTACCTCTGAAAGGCATGCCCGCCCGGGTTTTTAGGTACATTTTGCTGTTCCTCTTGTTCCTTGTTTTCTTGGCATTGTAGCCAATGCTATTACAACGGTTCTTCCGGCAACTGAGACAGATTCCCTTTTTGAAGCGGTTGGAGTCCGTGCACTGGAATGCAAAGCTTGGCTTGTCCTGATTCACCAGAGAGTCGACAAAAAGGTGTACTGCCCGCTCGTGCTCACATTTCAGCACCTCTGCGATCGCTGGGAAAGAGGGAGATGGAGACCGTCAGGACTGAGCTGCTCCTTGGTGATCTGCCTGCTCCATCAGTTAGGACTCACGCGTCAGTTATCACTACTTTTCATGCTGCTCTTCATATGCTTCTTTGTGTCATTCTTAACACACACTGTGCTCTCTTTAGAACTGAAGGCTAGTCCTGCCACTGAACTGCTTGCCCTCCAGGTAGGAAGACCCCACCGATACACACAAAGGAATAAAGAGCAAAGGAATACATAGGACAAGCCTTATACAGGGTGATGGAGGCCAGTCGTGCAGGAGGAGTCACTAAGTCCTGATGGAGGTGTGTGGTCACAAAATACTGGAAATGGATCCGATGCTAAACATCATCTAGTCCAGGGCTCAGCAAACTACACCTTGCAGGTTGGTCCCATTTTTTGTAGTTTTATTGGAACACAGCCACACTCGTTCATTTGCCTGTTGTCTCTGGCTGCTTCCACGCTATGGGAGCAGGGCAGAGTTTTGAAACCAAGAGACTGCGTGGCTTGCAAAGCTGAAGATATTTACTAACTGACTCTCTAAGAAAATGTTTGGCAACCTCATTCTAGTCCAGTTCTTTCAATTACAGATGATGAGGCCCTTAAAGCTGAAGTCATTTGCTCAGGGTCACAGAGCCAACTGGTTACAAAGTTAGGAGCATAATTTGAATTTTTCTGACCCAGAGTAATCATTATTTCTTGCAACCAGAGGCTAAAGCTGATAGTTCTAGTAAATTCTGGGACCTTCAGAAACATTTGGCAAAGCTTCCCCTTTCCTTCCTCATTAACATCACCAGACTTAAAAAATGCCTAATCACTTGAGGCAGGGCTGCACTCTCCTTGCATAAACCCCCAAGCCCCACAGGACCTCCTTGGATGTTACAGAACACCTTGGGAGAGGTCAACCTAAGACCGAGTGACAGAGCGGGACATACAAAGAACAGAGCATCAGAGTAAAGAGTCAACTGGTGCCAAGACAGAAATCCAAAAAGACAGGATGCAAGGCAGTGAGCAAATGAGAAACCTAGCCCATCAGTTTCAGCTGCAAATTAAGTTCCACCCAAGACTGCTGGGAATAGGCTTAGGCATTCAGGAAGACAGACTTGTTAGTGAGTGAGGAAGCCTCTTGATTTTACTTCTTTAAAAAGTTACAAAAAATTAAATTATGGTGCATCCATGCTAAAGAATATTATACAGCCTTTAGAAAGAAAAAAAGTAAATAGATCTATGTACTCTGATGTCTAAGAATGTCCATAATGTATATTAAGACTGAAAAAGCAAAGCTGCAGGACAACGTGATTTTGAAAAGTACCACATGCACACACACACACACACACACACACACACACACAAATAAATTTGTAAAGCAAAAAGCCTGGAAGGATACACACAAAATATCTATATTGGCTACCTCTGGATAATAAAAATAAGAGTGGGTGTGGGGAATGAGGGGGTATTTTTACATCTTGCTTTAGGCAATTCTATAATGCTTGATTTTTTTCCCAACAAATATGTATTCCTTTTGTTATAAAAAGAATAACAATAATAACTATGACCTCAAAGCATAAGACAGCAGACCAGAGACCATGGGAAGACTGTGAATAGGCTTGCAGGATGATGAACTGTAGGATAAACAGTGTTGAAGGGCCACTGCAGGGAGAAGAGGGAATGACGAAATGAATGTTGTCAGGAACAATAATAGCTCGGGCTGATCCAGGAAGAGATGCAATAATTGAGTCAAAAGAAAAATTAAGGAACTCACTTCCATATGCAATCGACCCCAAGACATCGTTGAGTCCACAGCCCGGCTGGAAGTCACCCCCATTGGGGTAGATGTCGATATGACCTACAGGCATCTGAATGCCGATGCTCAAGCCAAAGGAACGCGTGTAGGTATGCAGGACATCCACGAAGTCTGCGTCGTCAGGGGACAGCCTCTTGTGGATGTCCGCCCCTTCAAACAAGGGCCCAGCAGGATCCAAACCTACGGCAGAAGGGGAGCCAAGATGGGATGTGTCAGGTGCGCTGAGATCCACTGGATAGCTGAGTCTGCGAGTGCAGAATGAAGACGTCTGCACCCTGGGAATCCTGCACGGTGTGGTGCCTGCCATATAGGAATGCTGGCTTTCTTATCAAGACTCTACCTGACTCAATAAACTGGTCACGAGGTTCAACCAACATGTGGATCCAAAGAACCACACACTGTCAGAACCGAAGCAGTTCTAGAAAGAACTTGGGCTGGCTGAAACCAAGTCATTCCTCCCACTTATTCTGCCACCAGGAGCCTTCCACAACCTTGGTCTTAGCAAAAGTTTGACAGAATAACTGAGCTACCTATATCTCCGAGAGGGAAGACTCGGAGCTATCTGCATCTGGACTTCCTCTTCCTCTTCCATTAGTTATGAGTCAGGTGCACCAGAAACACATTGAGCATCCGTATTTCAGGCGTCCAGAATCCCTCCCTTCTGCAGGCACAAGCAGAAAACCCTTTGCCTGCAACACTTCTGTATCAAACAAACAACCAGCACTGCAGAGAGCCCTGGTTCTCACATTTTAATCAGCACAAATATCTGCGGGGAGCTTCTTACAAATTCAGGTTCCACTGTGTAACTATGAAAAACTCTGGAAGAACACACAAGTCCTAGATTTCCTGTGTGTATGTGTGTTGGGGGAGAGGGTAGGGCAGGTAACCATGAAGATAGTGGCAACAATAGAGACAATTTCACCATCTTTTATAGTATCTGGGACCACATGACTATAAAGGGTTTCCCAGATGGGAAACCCTTTATTCCTGGCAGGCAGTAATAAAGAACTGCCTGCCAATGCAGGAGATGTAAGACACGTGGGTTTGATCCCTGAGTTAGGAATATCTCCTGGAGGAGGGCACAGCAACCCACTCCAGTATTCTTGCCTGGAGAGTGCCAACAACAGAGGAGCCTGGCGGGCCACAGTCTATATGCTTGCAATCAGACATGATTGAGGTGACTTAGCACACATGCACATGAATGTAAAACTATTCCAAAATAGAATTAGCAAAGCATAAAATGCAGATTCCCTGACCTCCAAGAGATTCTGATTGGTAGGTCTAGTGTAGAACCCAGAAAGAGAGGCTTATTCCCCAGGTGATCTTAAAACTAAGCGTTCTGTGGACCAGATTTTGGAAAAAAAACTTCTCCCATGCTTCAGTACCATCTAGAAAATGAAATCTTAATGTCTTAGTTCATATAGTTCATGTGTGATATTAAGAGAGTAAGTGCTTGTCAATGTAAATACTAGCTACTATCACCAAGTAATTATGGGAGCTGAATTCATCCTAGCCTAGAAAGTTCTTTGTTGACGCTATACACAGAAAGAGAGCGAGCGAGAGAGGGAAAGGACCTGGAGAAAGCAAAGAGAAGATTGTGCGCCACTGGGGAAGGTTTGTTTAGCCTAGAACAGAGGTTCTCAACTGGGAAGGGTTTTGCTCCCAGGGGATCCCTGGCCGTGTCAGGAGGCATCTTTCTTTGTCACAATTGAGGAAAAGGAGAGAAGAAGCTGCTGGCATCTAGTGAGGAGAGGCCAAGGATGCCGATACACATCCTACAAGGCACAGGTCAGCTCCCACACCAGCACTGTCTGGCCCCATGTGTGAATAGTGCTGAGGCTGAGAAGCCTGGATCTAGAATAACACCAAGCTAGGGAGGAGAATGACCGAGAATAGAGCTGTGAAACCTGGAGATGGGTGATAGAACCCTGTTCTCCAGACTCCAGAGCACTGGAACCAGGAAGCACGTAGTGAGGCTTGTGGAGGGTGATTTTAGGAGAAATGAAAAGCAGAGCTGTGGTTCAGAGTGGATGGCAAACCTGTGGGACTTACTACTCATGAGAACTGGTAATAACTGAAACTCTAAATAGTTTCCAAGAGAAGTTTAGAAAAATGTATGAATGACAGAGGCAGAAAGAGAGCCCAGGCTGCCTGGGGGCTCCTCTCTAGCCCAGGACCTAAAAGAAAAACGGCACAAAAGCAGCGGCCTCCCTGAGAAGCCCTCGATGACTCTTTTTAGCAACTGAACGGACCCAGTACTGACACAGGCAGCCTCTCCCTGCCTCTCACCATGTGCCCTGGAGGAAAAAAAGAAAGGAAGAAAGAAGAGAAACATTTTTCTTTGCAGCCAATAAGAGGGGGGCTTTTGCATCAGTGAACAAAAGTCTCCACCAGACAGTCAGCGCCATGGAAACCAAGCTGGGCCAGGGGAATGCCGCTGGCTGATGGGGCTTCTCGAAAGGCCGGCTGGCTGGCAGGCTGAGCCTTCGCCTCCCCAGACTGACCCTGCCTGACACGTAGCCAAGGCCCATAAACCCTGCAGGACATTCGCACAATTTATTTAACTAGGAATGGGAGGGTGAATGCATCCAGTCCAAAAAGAGAAGATGGAGAAGCACCCCTCCTTCCATTCAGTCAGACTCCCCCAAAGGTGCCCTGTCCAGCAAATGGAACACACACCTGCATGCATGTGCACACACACTCTTGTGCTCACACATAAAGCCCAGGAAAACCTCTGCCTCCCGCCTGGCAGGAAACTGTCACAACTACTGCTTCCCTCCCAGCAGGAGACCGGCAGCATGGCCCAGTGGTGCAGGGCAGGTCCGACGGCCTGGGTCTGAATCCCAGCTCTGCCATCAAGGTGTTAAGCGCTGGGCCCATTATTTAAGCACAGAGCCCTAGTTTCCCCATCTGTAAAGTGAAGCCCGGAGAATTCTTTGGCTTGGATGCTATATGGCTTACAGATGGCACAAAATATCGGTTACCCAGAGTACTTGACATTAGGTCCTATCTAGCCCACAGCATGCAGGGTGGACACTTAGTTCATATCTCTTGAATGAATGAACAAATCTGCTTGCTTCTTTCTTTATAAGTAACAAGATGTGAGTACAATTAGAAACGTATGACCTCTTCCCTAGTGGATCACGGAATTCCCTTAGAAGCCTAAGAGGGTGAAACTCCAACAGACCCCAAGTCCACAGTTCTCCGATCCAAGCAAGACTGGGGTTCAGGTACCCCCTGCAGGCCCAGGCGAAGGACCCTACTGGGTTCTGCACAGCAGCCTCCCTGGCCTCTGGACTCCACACAAGCTGCCGTCTCTGGTCCTCTTGCCTGTCAGGACCGCCCAGTTCCCAGGCCCATGGGAAGTCTGAGGGGTGAGGAGGGGGCACAGGCCTCCCCCATCAGACATGCACGGCAACATGCATCAGGTCAGCCAAATGCCCCCTGAGGTGCTGCCTGGCAACTGGACAGAGGCCACTCCTTGTCATGTTCGCCCCGGTGCCCCGCTCTGCAGAGAGAGGCTGCAGAGAAGGGGCCGCGCTCCGGACAAGCTGGCCCCTACACTCCCCGCGGACGGCCCAGAACACTGATCAGCATTCTGCCCGAGAAGCCCGCATCTCAGCAGCTCCCAACCCAGACAGGCAGGGGAAGGAACCAGAATGCTCCGACAAGCCCCATCCCACTTCAGATTCAGAGACAGGGAGAGGGAGGATCTGCCGTCTGTCTCCGTTGCCAAGGACACTGGCCCTGGCGCCCTGGCGGGGGCTGTGTGTGCTGCCTTTGCGCACAGCCGGCCGGCTCCGCAACACCAGGCCTCTCCTGGGGGCGAGGAGGAGGCGCGCAGACAATAGAACCCAGAGCCGCTCAAGGCCCATGAGCATTGCTCCAGCCCTGCGTTACTGAGCAGTCACGTGTGGCCACATTGCCCATTGAACAGTTCAGTCCCCGCTGACTTGATAATCAAAAGTGAAGCTCTCAAGTTATGCTGGATCAAACAGTTGGATCTAAAGGAGTGTGTGTGTGTGTGTGTGTGTGTGCGTGCACGCGCGCATGCGTATGCATATATGTGCTCATTAGACTTAAGCCCGGGGACGATGATTTGAGGAGGGCTACTATACCTAGCAAATGTGACTGCGTGCAGGATCTAGTTCCCTGACCAGGGATCAAACCTGTGCCCCCTGCAAGGGGAACACAGAGTCTTAGCCACTGGTCCACTAGGGAAGTCCCTCTATATAATTTGAAATCTACCCTGCTGGCTTATTGAAACTTTACCTTTACTAAATCATTCTTTAGCTAAGGACTCCCTTCTACCTGAGTCCTGTTTCAAAATGAATACACATTGCCAGGAAGGAAATGATTAACTATTTCCTTCTGGGTGACCAGTTGGGCCCTTAATGTGTTGGAGGTGTGGTGAAAGCAGGGAGGGAAAACAAAAAAAGAATGCAGGCAGGAGGACAAAAATTCAGGGCAACAAATTTGTCTCTTATTTTCTCCTAGAGGAAGCTCTGCGTTATGTGTTTCAGGGGCCCCCAAATGGGAGAGTCCTTCCCACTTTTCCCAATCACTAGATGATGTAAATATTTAAATCAAACTCTCACAGCACACAGCAGAAGGTCACCAATTCTGCCTATGGAATGTGTATCTCTCTAAACAAACTCACTTTCACTTAAAAAAAAAAAACTCACTAAGATGGAAAATTCAACTTTCTATTGCCAAACTGGGTACCACTATCAGAAAGGTCTCTTTAAGGACAAAGTTTAACCACACATTCTAAAGAGGTCACTATCACTAATAAATAATGCCAGTCAAACACTGGAAAGATGCTGTTGGTGAATGAAATAGAAATCAGAGGCAGAATTCAAACCACAACTCACTACTCATTCCTTTCCCCTGAGCTCCTGGCGCATCCCAGCAGAGACTAAAAGTGAGCGCCAGAGCTTGCAGGCCAGGCTTCACCCCAGGGATGCCCTTGAGTCTCTTTAGCTGTCTGAGTGCTTCCTCACCTTTTGCACTAAACCAGTGGTTTTCCAAGCATGCTCCCTGGTGCTCGGGGAACCAGAGCTTCCTCCAGAGAAGTGGAAGGCTCAAATAACAAAGTTAACACTACCCACATATACCCAGCTTTGACCAGAACATCCCTTCTATCTGCTTCATATATTGGAATCCCGCACAAGTTCAGTTTTCCAAGGGCTCTGGGAGGGAGCCCCGGGAGCAGCCCCGAGTGAGGGGGCCGCACTTACCTGTGATTCTGCCCACCGTGCCTTCCACGAAGTTGCCCGCGTACCCGGCCACGTGAGCTCCGAGGCTGTAGCCGATCAAGTGAACATTCCCGAGAGAAAAGTCCTCCTTCTCCTGCAGAAAGTCACAGAAGGGTAGGGGTGAGGAAGATGGTCCTGAGCCCACAGGTCGCCAGCAATTCAACCAGTCAGTCACGTCGGGGAGGGGACAGGGAGCCCGGAGGTGGCTGGTAGTGCCGAGTGCCGGCGGGCAACGCAGATGGGACATAGCCAGGTAAGGGGAGCTAGAGAGGACTTAGGGGCACTTCAGTCATCACACACCAGGGATGGGGTGCAGGTGGTGACTAGCGGCTGCATACCTGAAAGTGAAAGTCACTCAGTCGTGTCAGACTCTTTGCGACCCAATGGACTATACAGTCCACGGAATTCTCCAGGCCAGAATACTGGAGTGGGTATCCTTTCCCTTCTCTAGGGGATCTTCCCAACCCAGGGATCGAACCCATGGCAGGCGGATTCTTTAACAGCTGAGCCACAAGGGAAGCCCAAGAATACTGGAGTGGGTAGCCTATCGCTTCTGCATCAGATCTTCCCAACCCAGGAATCGAACTGGGGTCTTCTGCACTGCAGGCAGATTCTTTACCAACTGAGCGATGAGGGTCCTTTCTCTACATGTTTCCAGCCGTGTCTAAGGATGGGAGGGGTGGCAGTGTGGAGGTCAAAAGCCACCAGATGCACCGGAGACTAAGTGCCAGACACAGTCTGCAGCAGGGCGCTCCCTGCCCATTCTCTTAGGCCCAGGAGCTGCCCACCTCCTCGTCACCAGCCTGCTGGGATCCCAGAGCTGAAGCATCAGACCTTGACAGGGAAGGTACTTGGTGATGGGGGTGAGGAGGGATTTGACCCCATGGCTCAGGAACCAAGCTCGACTAAACAACCTAGGCAGAGGATTGAGGACTCTTTGAGAATTCTGACCAGAATTTTGCCACAATTCATCAGATTTATGGGCTTCTAAAGGAAGGTCAGGTTGAAATTGCCCAGACGATTGAGTTACTCTACCAGAATACTCCTGCCTCCCATTAAGTCCACTGAGCCCAGGCAAATCATTAACCTATAAAAGCAAATGTAAGACCTCAAGGTCTGTTTCCCGCGTATATTTTATGCAAGGTATTAGACTGCATTTGTTTGGAGCAACCCTCCCACCCTCAGCCCAGTCACCCCTCAGAATAAGAGCAGACCTCAGTAGGTAGTTAAGATTACAAGCTTCTGGGCTTCCCTGGTGGCTCAATGGTAAAGAAACCAGGAGACACAGGTTCCATCCCTGATCTGGGAAGATCCCACACGCCATGGAGCCACAAAGCCCATGTGCCACAACTATTGAGCCTGTGCTCTAGAGCCTGGGAACCACAACTACTGAGCCCATACGCGCCAACAACTGAAACCCAACAAGCTCCTCTGTCCATGGGATTTCCCAGGCGATAAAACCGGAGTGGGTAGTCATTTCTTCCTCCAAGGGATCTTCCCCACCCAGGGATCGAACCCACGTCTGCGGCCTTGCAGGCAGATTCATTACCACAGAGCCACGAGGGAAGCCTCCACAGGAGAAGCCACGGCAATGAGAGGCCTGAGCAGCGCCCCTGGAGAGCAGCCCCGGCTCGCCGCAACTAGACAAAGCGCATGCAGCCATGAAGACCCACCACAGCCGAAATTAACTAATCAAAAAAATGTTTTAAAGATTACAAGCTTCTGAAAGGCATCAGCAAGTAACGACCCAGAAGGCAAACTTTCTTCCTTCAAGTAAAGCAATAGGAAAAATCCAGAAATGAGTCAATAATTAGAAAGCTTTCTAAAAGTTCCAGCTTCCAAAATATTTCAAGCGATACTTAACTCTGTAAAAATTTGAATCTCAAAGATATTCTTGGCTCACTGTAATAGTCTGATCTGTGTTTCCTAAAAGGGTTCAGACTCAAGATCCTTCTCAGAAAAGGAGATGATTCCCTTCAGTCCCACTGTTACCTGCAGCCAGTCGAGCATCTTGGCGATGCTGTGTCCCACATGCCTTGTGTTATTGACCGCATCTACGTAAAGCTGGTGAGCCAGCGGGAGCCAGTCCACCACCACGACGTTGGATCCTTTCTCTCTCGTCTGCAGGGCTGACACCAGTTTGTACAGCCAGTTTTCAAACATGCCACTCATCTGCAGAGAAAACAGGAGTTTTTTAAAAAGATTCTTTTTCTGGATTTGAAAAATGCAAACGAACATGGAATTCAGTTTCATGACCCTCTCCCCAGCCATGGAACAGTCTCATTGGTCCCCCAGGCACCAAGGCTTGCCCATGAGCGGGGCCAGCCACAGTCAGGATTGCTAGGTGGGCGACAGTCTTCCATTGCCCTTGATGACGTCTCCAGTTTTCCCCATCGAAAATGTCCAAGCTGCTGTCCTGTGTTGCTGCCCCACTGACCAAGAGGGCTGCTATGAGATACATGCTGGCAGCCGTGCCGACCTGAGGTTAGCCCTGCCGCAGTCAGGCAAGTAAGTGACCTGGTCCAGCATTCAAAAGCAGCTGAGAAGAGTTGCCCTGGAGAATTAGTTACTTTCTCAGAGATGCAAGGAGATCCTGTCTCTTAGGCAAATGCCAAGTTAACAAATGACCCCTTCCCACAACCCATCTCTGCCATCCCTCTTGACCCCAGAGGAGGGAAGATCTGTTGCTGGAATCCCAAATTAGAACTCAGAGCACATTTCCCCACAGAAACAAAGTGTAAATGGTGACTAGGTCCAGTTGTAAACCTATCCATGAGTGCATTATTAGATAAATAGATTTCCTGTGCCTGGCCTGGGAACCCAAAGGCCATTTACAATCTTGCTTCTATGGGAAACTGCTGTTCCAAGTTCCAAACAGATTACAAAAGAACTTTCTGGAATGCGTTTGTCAGTTGCAGGCAGTCTGTATTTGCATTTTGACAGGGGGGCCTTTAAAAGATCTAAATGCGTGATTCTAATCATAGGCTGTGAGGTGAGGATGGACAGACAGGCCCTTAACGATCCCTTCGATTGCATTCAGTACATAGGTGCCTACATAACAGCCCCTAGCCAGGCCTGACATCAACAGTTGGTGATAGACCTAAAGACCCAGCAAGCATGTAACGGATATGAATTTCTCATCATTAAGAGGAGGAACATTCCCTCCCAATTAGCCCTGGCAGAAACCTGCTCACTTAACAGTGCCATTTTCCTACAGACTGTCATTAGATGAATGGATAAATCCCTCGCTGGTCCAAAGCTTCTGAGGCCGAGCATTAAAGCCCTCTTTTTGTTGAAGTTTGTTATGGGCTTTTCGATGTGAATGGCTCAGTGAGGGCATAGAAAGACTCCAGTGCCTTTAAATGGAACCATCTCTAGGCAAACAGGAGGGCACTGTGCCAACCAGGGCCAGTCAGCCAGGCCAGCTGGCTCCTCACAGACTGTCTGAGCCAGTCAAGTTGCTTCAGTTCAGCTGGGCTCTCGCAAAGGGATGGCCCCCATGAGGCAGCGGTTGACCAATGTAATTAAGTGTAATTAGAGGGCCCCTTAAGAGCCAGTGGAGCTGGGCTACTGCCCTCAGGAGAGCCACTTTCTGAAAGCCTGCTGCGTGCCAGCATTAAATGCCACCCTGCTGGAGTCCAGATTGCCCCCTCAGCGAAGTGCCCGTTACATTCTTCACAGCTGTCTGAAATACAAGCAGCCCACAAGAAAAGAGGGGGAGAAAGAGCGGAATCTGGAAGCACCAGTGTGCTTTTTAATTGACCAAAACAAAGGAGACCAAATCCCGTGTAGAGCCGGAGAGCTACTTCCCCCCGGGCTCACCGTCCATCCGTGAATGATGAAAAAGGTCTTGGCTGTCACGTTGAAGCCACAGTCCTCTAAGGGCTGGCTGTGGTCAAGGGAGAGATCGCATCCTTCATGCTCTGGGTCCTCCGAGGTACGGAGGTTAAATCTCACAGGGGGGTTGGAAGCAGTTGGTACCACCCTGGATTTGTCGAACTCATCTGGGGAGAAAGAACAGACCGTACGGGTAACTAGCAGGCCCGGGTGGTGAGAGCTCTGGGGTCCAGTTCTAGTTCACTCTTGAGCAAATTACTTAACCCTTCTGGGTTTCAGCGTTTACATCTGCCGAATGTTTCCATCTCATCTGACAGAAGAGTTGCAAAGATTTTATAAAAGGCACACCTCACCAATATTTAAGAGTGTTAACTAGTCACTAGTATCAACTACTGTAGGGCTTCCTACTGTGGCCCAGAGAGTCTCCACAATGCAAGAGACCAGGGTTCCATCCCTGGGTTGAGAAAAGCCTCTGGAGGAGGGCATGGCAACCCACTCCAGTATTCTTGCCTGGGGAATCCCATGGACAGAGGAGCCTGGTGGGCTACAGTCCATGGGGTCATAAAGAGTCAGATTCAACTAAGTGACTAACACACACAAACGCACACATCAGTGACTGTGAATCTGAAGTAAATAAGTCTCCCTTACATTTCTTCCTTCTTTCTAATCCAAATGAGTTCTCTTTCCTTCCCTCAAGTTACTAATTTCAGAGAACGGGTTCTCAATTCTTCTCTTGAAATGCTTGGGACCACTTGCATTGCTGGAGAAGGAAATGGCAACCCACTCCAGTATTCTTGCCTGGAAAATCCCATGGACAGAGGAGCCTGGTGGGCTACAGTCCATAGGATCTCAAAGAGTCAGACACTATTGGGCAACTACACTTTCACACAGACTTGCATTTTAGAATTCAGAAATGTTCAGATTTTAAACAGGTATTATGATGTATATATATATCAAGACTATATATATATATATATATAGGGTTTGGGGCATTCCTCATTCATCAAACACACCAATAACATTTCTGTAAGGAAATATATGACTACTCATAGTCAAGGGCAAAAAAAAGAAAAAAGAAAAAGATTTTAAAGACCATCTTGGTTCAGGTCAGTTTTGGATGCCAAATGTGTAAGAATTCAGGTTAGGTAAGGCCAGGTCTTGCTGCTAAACAAGTTGCTAGTCAAATTTTTCAGTTTTGAAAGATTTTGTAAATGGAGGTAAGGAACTTTGGCCTTTTAAACACTGGACTTCCCTGCTGCTCCCATGTCAATTCTGGCACTTACCCCAAATACCTCATGCACTCTCAGTGCTTCTTGCAGTACCAGACAGGTGCCAGACACTTTTTTACCTTATTAAATAAATTATTGAGGCCATAGAGAAGCTCGTAAGAGCAGCAAAACCTCTCCTTTCAGTTCCACCGTGCACACACACAGCACTATCTAGAAGATGGTCCTACTTCAAAACACAGCATATATTACTGATGGTCCCAAGACCTTTTAACACTAGGTATTGTCATCATCAGGGCTTCCCACGGGGCACTAATGGTAAAGAGCTCACCAGCCGTTGTAGAAAATAAGGGTTTGATCCCGGGGTTAGGAAGATCCCTTGGAGGAGCAACCCACTCCAGTATTCTTGCCTGGAGAATTCCAGGGACAGAGGAGCCTGGTGGGCTGCCGTCTATAGGGTCACACAGAGTCAGACACGACTGGAGCCACTTAGCAGCAGCAGCAGCCGCCCTGTTCTAATCATCCAGGATGCCACCCCTGATAACAGGCTAGGAAATTAGACAACCAAAATGTCCAGTTTCCCAGAAACCAAGGGAAAATGGACCAAATGACCATACCAGGAGTTTAATTATCCCAAAGTTAAAAAGAAAGAAAAACAAACAAACAAATGGAGTCATGGAAAGAGAGACTAGAGTGGTAGAGGGGTTGGTGGTGATGTAAAAAGGATAAGGTTCCAGAAAATGCAACTAAATACACATAAGCAGAACTCTGTCATTAAAGTAATGCACAAAAGCCCCAACTGGCAGAAATTTGAACTGTGGACATAATTTGTTCAAAATCTCCCAGTTTCCACCCAGATAGCCACTCATAGAGACCAGATGGAAAGTCTAGGGAAAAGGCAGAGAGGGTCTGCTGGCTTCCCAGCACTGACTTGTGGATAAACCCACATAAGGTGAACATAAAATGTTCACTTTAGCACCTGGCTCTCTCTGACCACACAGTTCTCTAGCTCATTTCTACTAATTCCAGCCCACGTCACTTCAGCCTCTGGGACTTCATAGTCATCCTACATCCAGATGTCCCCAAGCTCATCCTCTCCTCCCCTCCAGTTCCTCGCTCAGAAGTCAGCTCCTCAGTGTGGGAAGTCTGGTTACAGACTAACATTACACCACCTTCTCCCTCCAGCCCTCTGTACCTTCCTTCTCTCCTTTATTTTGCTCCATAATACTGAGCACTATTTCTATGTTTTAAGTAGCTGACTTCTTCTCACCACTGAAATGCAAGATCCCTGAGGGTACGGGTTTACACCTGTTTGGTTCACTGCTATATCCTCCTGTGTGCTCAGTTGCCCAGTTACGTCCAACTCTTTGGGATCCCATGGACTGTAGCCCACCAGGCTCCTCTGTCCATGGGGTTTTCCAGGCAAGAATATTGGAGTGGATTGTCATTTCCTCCTCCAGGGGATCTTCCTGACCCAGGATGGAACCCATGTTGCCTGTGGCTCCTGCATTGGCAGGGAGATTCTTTACCACCATGCCACCTGGGAAGCCCCACTCACAGAAGCGTTCCTGGCAAATAAAGACTTCTTTGAATGAAGGAAATAACCCCCAAATACTTAGAATCACAGAACATAGAAGTTGAAAGTAATGTTAGCATTTTACAGGAGAGGAACTAGAGATACAACTTACTCTGGTTCAACTATACTAGAGTTGGGAACATGTTAAGTAATTTTTCCATTCATTCTGATTAACCCTCCTGCTCATACACGAGCAACTTGGACCAATATCATTTGACCCAATCTGCAGTTCATGGGGTCACAAAGAGTTAGACACGACTGAGCGACTGAACTGAACTGAACTGAACAACAGGATAGTAGAAGATGAGCTAATAGGATATGGTTCAGGGGTTCCCCACTCTCCTCTGCTTAACCAATTGACCTAGTACTCCTGCAGGGTGACCCTACCCTTGCTCCACCAGGGCATGCTTCCTCCAATAGAAGAGACTGAAAAAGAAAGGCTGGCAGCTGGAAGGAAGAGAGGTAGCAAGAGGAAGAGCAAAGGCTGGAAAGACTATTGGGGAGGAGGAGGAGGCTGGCAGCCTGGGGTTCTCTGCACAAATTACCCACCAAATCCTCCCCAAAAGCGCTTCTTAAACCAGAACCAGCTACCCGGACACCTTAACTTTAAAAGCATTTAGCCGAGATTAAGAAGAAGAGCGCCAGATGACAGAGCTCTTTCTAACAACCTTCTTGCCCCGAAAACCCGCAGGTTCAAAGAGGAGGGCAAGGTTAAAGAGCTGCTGGCAGCCAACTCTGCTGACTGGACAGCATCGATAAGGGTGCATATTAACGGCAAAGGGGTGGAGCCGGACCGAGCGCGGGCGAGCGCACCCGGCAGCCGGTAGCCGGCCGGCTCTGGGATGCCCTGGTCAGAAGCACCGAGGAACAAGTGAACTGCAAGACTAATTAGGAGGAGCAAATGGACAGCGCAGGCGGAAAGCAAGGAGGATGCTGCAGCATCGAGGAAGAAGGGTGGGCAAGACAGAGGGCACCTGGGCCAGAAAAGAAATTGTGGGGGTGGTAATAAAAATAAGTGCACGTTACCTTGCAGCCGTCCCTCCTGACCACGGGGTGCGGGGTCTCCCGTGGCAAAGCAACAATAGGCGCTCCACAGGCAGAACTGAAGAACGGTGTTTCTCATCCTCACCGCCCCCTCCCCGCACCCCCTTCTCCAAAATGGGACTTTTAAAAAGACTAAAAAAAAAAAAAGAAGAAGAAGACAAAAACACCTCTCGAAGTTTCCAGCGGTCCAAGCCTGTAAGACCCCAAGTGGGCAGCCCTCTCTCCAGCAGAGAGCGCGGTGGCCTTAGACAGCTGAAGGTGGAGAGGGGGTAAGATGAAAACTCGGCTAAACTCAGCCACCGGGTGGTGGGGGGAATGTGAAGGGGCTTGAACCAGAACCAGATCTGCCCTCTCTCGTGCGCCTGCCCAGGAAGCGAGGGCTCGCCACTGTCACGCAGCGAGCTCCCGGCGAGGTACTTTTAAAAAGTATTGGGAGTCATCTGATCCATCGCCAGATGGTGATTTGCATAATTTATTCCCGTCCCCGGACTCTGATTGGTCACACCTTCGCTGACGCCAGAACCAGACTCCCCAAAGTTTGAATGAAAGCGCCGCACACCCACCGCGTGGACGCTCCGCAAGCGCAGGCTTGTTTCCTCCCCAGCCGGCTCCGGAGGCAGCCGCGCTCTCACCACCCTATTTTTCCCAGTGTCCACTCCCGGACCCAAGATCCTCTGCCACCCCCTGCAGCCCCAGGGGAGTCGTTGCCCCATAGCCCTGCTCCCTCTGCGATCGCGATCCCTGGAGAAGGAAGGTTGTCTTCTCCAAGACGCAAAGCCATCCGCGCGCGCGCAACGCTCTCTCCTCGCCCCGGGCCAACGGTCTGAATGAAGAAAAGACACGTGGTCACCCTGTGGTCCTTCTTTACTCCCTTTCCTGCTGCGAGCGAGGCCCGTGACAGGTGCAGACGGCGTGATCCGACAATAACCCGGCAGAGCTAAGAGGCTGCGGGCTGTAGCCTGGGTGTCAGGATCGCTCTGACCCTTCTCGGAGTGCTCGTTCGCCACTAGCTACAGAACTCAGAGCAAGCCACGCAACTCCCCCAAAGCCGTTCCTTCCTCCCCAGTACACCGGTGGTAACAGTTCCTGTCGCTTAGGGATGTTGAGGAAATTAAAAGATCCAGGATAATACCATCTGAGCTTCCCTGGTGGCTCAGCTGGTAAAGAATCTGCCCGCAATGTGGGAGACCGGGGTTCGATCCCTGGGTTAGGAAAGATCCCCTGGAAAAGGCATGGCAACCCACTCCAGTATTCTTGCCTGGAGAATCCCATGGACGGAGGAGCTTGGTGCGCACGGGGTCGCAAAGAGCCGGACACGACTGAGCAACACACACACACAGGATAATACACACAGCGCTGCGCGCGGGGCCTGCCGCGGCAGGCGCTCTCATACCTGGGGCTGGAGGACTAGAGGGGCGCCAGGCGACACTCCCCTAAGGAAACAATGAGCCAGGCTTGGGGATCTCAGCCTCTCAACCAGTGCCAGTTGTCGGGGCGGAGGCGCGCCACCCCTATCGAGGGGAATGAGGCAGCTTCTTCCTCTCCGTCCCCTTTTTGCCCTCCTCTTCTCCTCTTCTTCCCTTCATTGCGTGCGTCCTTGCTCCTCCGGCGGGTGCCGGCTCCAGCTCCGCGCCCGGAACCCCGGGACAGAAGGCGGCGACCACCTCCCCGCCCCCCCCCCCGCCCCCCGAGCCTGCATCTGGAGCAGGGGTCGGGGGCTGAGCCCCGGGCCCTCGGCAGCCGCCGGCCAGGAAGATTCCGGAGCGGCTACGCCTCCACAGCCCTCGGGAGCGCCGAGGAGGCAGGAGAGAGAAAGCGCCGCGGCCGGCTGCGCACCGCCATCCGCCTTCTTCCAGCCAGACTGCACCTTTGACCGCAAGTAACCCCGCGGAGGCCTGGAACCAGTCCCGCTCCTGCCGGCGGAGAGGAAAACCGCCGGAGCAGCCCCGTGCCCTTTCCTCGCCGGTGTCTGCGCCCCAGCCTGGGAGCTCTGTGTGGGGAAACCAGGCTGGAGCAGCCGGTCCTGTTCCGACCTATCCTCGTTCCTTTTGTCACTCCAGTTACCAGCGCCGAAGCGCGCTTCGTCCGTCCTGCGCTAGAATTCATTAACAAGAGGCAGGCCAGCTCTGTTTTTTCAGTGTGAAACTCACTGGTCATGAGTACATGGTACCCCCAGAAATTCCCCCCCCCGCCCCATTCTTAACGCTTTCCTTCTCCACTGGCAAACTATACAGACATAAGTCAGGTGTCATCTCCATTCTACAGATGGGAAAACTGAGTCAGAGGAACAGGCTGTAGCTCTGAAGCAAATCTCTGATAACCAGATCTTTCTCTTCTGCTCTTAGTTTGATTTAGCCAGTTGGCCTCTAAATAGGAACGTTTGGGAGCCAAGTCTCCATCTCTTGTCTGGTTGAGTCAGTAGGCAACCTGTGAGTCAAAAATCCCCTTCTCTTTTCTGAGTTACTCAAATCATAGCCCCTAGAACTTTAAGTGGACAATGTGGAGGGTGTGTCTTGGGGACCCCTGTCACAAGTATTCCCTAGGAGAGCTAGGTACTCTTGCAAAGCTGGTTATCCTACCTGGAAAAAAGATTGAACAAGATCAATACTCATCTTTTTAACTGCCAAGGCTATGAAACCATTTAGATTTTATTACTGGTTGGTTAGAGTGCCCTCCTGTGTCTCTATATTAAAACATCATGTGAAAACTTTCAAAGGACATAATAAAGCTATAATCACAGCATTAGAGTGAAGTATAACATCAACTCTCTTATGCAAAGCATAACATATGTATAAAATATGCAAAATATTTTCTAGAAGAATTTCAAGGAGGGCTTGGGAACCTCCTGTGTGGAGGAAGACCCTGCCTGGGGAGTTTCAGCAGAAACTTTGTATCGGGGTCTCAGGTTACCCTAGCAAAGATTCTGAGCATTTTTCTAGGCAGTCTATCATCTGAAGACACCTTCCTAGGTTAGAGGAATGAACCTCCCTTTCATAAGAGGAGTCCACTTTCCACTTCAGAAGCTGAAAAGCAAACACACACCTTGCCAGCCTCCCTTGCAGCTAGAGTTCCCAGTTTAAACTCAGCCAATCAAACTCTAAGGTGAAAGCCAGTGAGTCTAGAAGCACACAGCCACTCCACTCTGCCAACAGGGCAGCAGGAGCCAGTTCTGCTTTGGGTCCCACCAAAGCAGAGGGTGGGATGGTGGCATCATCCCCAGACCAGCCTGCAGTGGGACTTGGGCAATGCAGTCTGCCTGAGTATACTTTCCAAGCCTGGTTCTTTTGCCCTGCAGATATTCTGATACTCTGATTGCAGTAATTCTGATTACTATTAAAAAATATGTTTTTTTAATAGTTCCACTATATATTACAATTATTTTAAATAGATAAATAAAGATTTTTAGTTGGAGTTTCAGTATCAAGCTCTCAAAAATTAACAGAATGAACAGTCTGAAAAGTAGAAGGATATAGTAGACCTGAAAAGCACTATGAACCAATTCAGCATAAAGATTTAAACAGTTTTCACACAACGGCAGGATACTAATTTTATTCAAGTTCCCATAGACTATAAACCAAAAGACACTGGAACATATTCAGGAATACAAATAAAGTAAGGTGCAAAAATTTCATGGTCTAAAAGTATTGAAATCATACAGAGTCTGTTCTCGTATCACTGTGGAATTGTGTTAGTAACAGTATCAAAAGATATTTGAAAATAACCCACATATTTTCAAGTGAAATGTGACATTTACCAAGAGAAAACTTTGACTTAGCCATTGAAGGTCTCAGTAAAGTTAGACTGAATAAAACACAGAGGGTGACTGCAGAGAAGAAAGCATTTAAGTGAGAAATTAATATCAAAGATATTTTTAAAACTCCATGTATTTGGAAATTAAATGTTCACTTTTAAAGGGTGGTTGTATCTAAGAAGCCATACCAAGGAAAATTAGAAAGTATTTGTAACAGAATAAAAACGAAAGACCACCACCTGCAGACCACCAGGCTCCTCTGTCCCTGGGGATTTTCCAGGCAAGAATATTGGAGTGGATGCCATTTCCTCCTCCAGGAGATCTTCCCGACCCAGGGATCAAACCCATGTCTCCTGCATCTCCTCCATTGACAGGCAGGTTCTTTACACTGAGCCACCTGAGAATCCTGTGTGTGTGTATGTATAATATCACTTTGCTATACATCTGAAACTAACAAAAGAAATGGAAAATATAGTTAAATGCACAGCTTACTCAAACTCTACTTTCCAAGGTCAGAGAATGAAATGGAAAATAGAAAAGACTATTAGGCTGAGATGGGACTTAAGATGACTTTAAAGAATGAAAAAGCTTTAAGCGCCAACTCCTGGCTGGCACTTGGATCCCCCTGAGTGATGCTGACCACAAAGTTTGGAAAGAGAGTGCCAAATCTCCACCAAGGAGGTAACATCCTCTGCTTACTTGGCTCTTAGCTCTGGGCAACACACAGGCGTTAAAGTAACCTGACTCTTGGTAAATTCAAAGGCCTGAGGTCTCCAGCTCCTGAAGCTTGTATTTCTCAGAAGCAACACTTCCTCCAAAAGGAATAAGCTAGAGGAGCATTTCCCTATGTGGGTCTGTGATGTTAACAGGTGTCCCAGGGAATAAGTATGGCAACACTGAGTTAAACAAGTTAAAACAGGCTTGTTCACTGCAGGACTTCTCAGGACTTCTACTATACTTTAACTCTTCAGTAGCTTCAGGTTTGAGATTAAGACCCTTCAAATGGCCTCCAACACCCTCCATGGATTAGCCCACTGAGGGACACCACTCTGTCTTTACCTCCCTCCTCTCCTCTCCCTGCCTTCTGGCGATCCTGGCCTTGTCTTAGCTCCTCTGTCTGGTCTGTCCAATCCAATACCCACGGGCTCTTGAGCACTTGAAATGTGGCAAGTCTAAACTGAGATGTAAGTGTAAAATGCATACCAGATTGTGAAGACTTGAACAAAAATATATATACATTTTAAAATTTCATTCTTTTGTGTGTGTCTGTGACCTCACTGCAACTCATGTAGGATCTTAGTTCCTTGGCCAGAGATTGAACATGAGCCCCCTGCAGTGGAAGCTCGAAATCTTAACTACTGGACCACCAAGGAAGTCCCTATAATTTTCTATTGAAAGCTTTCTCTTTTTTTAATATTTGTTTTATTTACCTGCCTCAGGTCTTAGTTGCAACATGTAGGGACCTCGTTGCAGCACAAGGACCCTCTAGTCGTGTCTCTCTGGCTCAGTGATTTCTCCGAAACCTGTGGCACCTTCCTGGACCAGGGATCGAACGCATGCCCCCTGCACTGACAAAGCAGATTCCTAAACATTGGACCATCAGGAAAGTCCCCCCATAATTTTTTATGTTGAGTAAATGTTGAAATGACAATATTATAGATACATTGAGTTGGGTAAAATGTAATAATAAAATTAATTTCATCCTTTTCTTTTTACTTTTTCAGTGATTGCTGGAGAATTTTTCATTCCATATGTGGCTCACATTTTATTTCTAGTGAACGTTCCAACGGAGAAGGCAATGGCAACCCACTCCAGTACTCTTGCCTGAAAAATCCCATGGACGGAGGAGCCTGGTAGGCTGCAGCCCGTGGGGTCGCTAAGAGTCGGACACAACTGAGTGACTTCTCTTTCACTTTTCACTTTCATGCATTGGAGAAGGAAATGGTAACCCACTCCAGTGTTCTTGCCTGGAGAATCGCAGGGACGGGGGAGCCTGGTGGGCTGCTGTCTATGGGGTGGCACAGAGTCGGACATGACTGAAGCGACTTAGCAGCAGCAGCAGAACATTCTAAAGCATCAACATTTGACCTTTGACCTATTTAATGCTAACTCTTATCAGATTTCAGATATCTGCTTGGGTCCCTTCTTCAGATTCCTGGTGTACATTTCCTGTAATAATGCTCTTTTCTTTTATAGAACTTACCCAGGTCTTTAATTAGACATTATTTGTTTGGCTATTTGATTCATGTCCCTCTCCCTGTAGTGTATTAAGTCCCATGAAAGCAGCAGCTGGATTTGTTTCTGTTGTTATTCTTTCTCCCAGAGCCTAGCATTAAGCTTGGTGCATAGAAGACTCATTAAATATTTGTTGAATGATTACGTAAATGAAGTGTGAGGTGAATCTCCAAGAAAGGGATAAAGTATTCAACTTTTGCTAAATTAACCACAGAACCCTCACCCCATAAACGGTTTAGTGAAGGATCAGAATTCCCCAGGAATACAGTTTGAGAAGCGCTGGACTGGGGGCTGTAACTACAGAGAGAGTTAATTGAGCCCCAGTTTAAATCTCATCTTCAATAGGACCTCAGCTCTCCTATGTTCTGAAGGTAGCTCTGGTTTGTTTATGTTTCCTTTCTCTACAAATCACAAGCTTCAAGCCCTTGAATTCTTCCACTTAGGAGACAACTAAATCAGGGGTCCCCAGCTTCATGGATCTAGTGCCTGATGGTCTGAGGTGGAACTGATTTAATAATAGCAGAAATAAAGTGCATAATAAACGTAATGTGCTTGAATCATCCCAAAACCTTCCCTCAACTCCCCATCCTCGGTCTGTGGAAAAATGTTCTTCCATAAAAACAGTCCGTGGTGCCAAAAAAAGTTAGGAATCACTGATCGAAAGGAAGCAGAATAATTCTCCTTAATAAAGAAAATTTCATGCAAATTCATACACAGCTTATGTATGATTGTATGTTTCTCTCCTGCATCTATACAAGCATGGAGTGGGTGAAATGTTGAGTTTAATTAGGAATTTGGGTAGTTTAAAGGAATTTACCTAAGAACCGTGTCCGGCTTCACTCATTTTTTTTGGAAAAGAGAGCATGATAAGGGGCTATGTGATCAATTGACTCAGAAGTTGAGGCCCAAGAAAAGATGGTTAAGTCGGATACTCATGCCTCCTAAAAAAAACAACCAAGGTGGTCCAGCTCACATGTTATTTTAACTCTCAGCGTTAAAACATGCCTTCTGGGGTACAGTTGTTTTACAGTGCTGTGCTGGCTTCTGTTGTACAACAGTGTGAGTCAGCCGTGTGTGTACCCTCTGGAGCCTCCCTCCCACCCCACCCC